ACTCCTTCTCATTGATGAGCCCTGAACCACAGTTATTGTTTCCTCTGCCCAGAGAGACTTCCAAAAGTTCTGCTCAACTTCTCATTTTCTCAGGTTTGACTTTGAAACTAGGAACACCTCAGTGGTGCCAGATGTTTGTCTCACCTCTAGGGAATTCTCCCTTCTCCAGAATCTTGACCCCTAAGTTCTTTTCTATCTTGGTAGTTCTCCAATGCTTCCAAACAGATATTTTAAAAATATTTTGAACAGCCTTCCTAACTGTTCTTGATGGGAGGCTTGATCTGGTTTGCAATGTCTTTGGGTGATTTCTATTTATTCTGCCCAGCTCAGTGAACTTGAAAAAGGAAGCCATTAACAGTACCCGGGGTATTTCTCAAACTTCTCAAATGTAAAATTCTGCCAGCAATAACTTTGAGAACCCATTGGAACAAAGCAAGACATTGTGACACATAATTCAGCACCGCTCCTGGCAGCGATGCTGAGATGGACCATTCTAAAGCCTTTTCTTTGCCTTGTCTTTATCTCTCCCAAACTATCAAGCAAAAAACATCTACACGTACAAACCTCTTTTACGCTCTCCCAGTAGCCTGTTTCTCTACTTCTAATTATTCCCAATGTTAGGAATTCAAATTCATGTGTTTCTAACCCTAAATTCTAGAGATTGCAAAAAAGGCTCACAGAAGTAAAAATACATTTACAAGAGTTCATATAGTAGGACTCCTTCGTTAGAAACGAATTGCTATTCTTGCATCTTACTAAAATAACAGTGCTTTCTCCATATTTGTATCTCTAAAATGCTGCTCCTTGTTTTGAGAACATTCTCTTTCTTTATTTCCCATCATATGCCCCACTTCAGATTCTCTTGGCCTCACCTGTCTCCAGGACATTTGAATCCACCTCCAGTCACTGCTGTTGGAAAAATAAATCTCAGGATCCCACATCACTAAGCCAAAGGGGAAAATCAAGCTAAGAACTCCTAAGGGCAAACCTGCCTCCCATTCTATTCCTAAAAAAAATAACTACTAAGATAAAAAAGCTATACACTTCCCTCACAATTTGCCCAAAAGGAAATTCCTTGGGGACAAAGGACAGACAGAACTTAGTCATCCCTCTGCTCACTGAGATAAATGTATATCTGATTGCGTCCTTTGGAAAGGCTAATCAGAAACTCAAAAACATTGTCTCTTACCTACCTATGACCTGGAAGCCTGCTTCAAGTTGTCCCGCCTTTCCGGACCAAACAAAGTACATCTTACATATGTTGATTGATGTCTCATGTCTCACTAGAATGCATTATAAAATTTAATATAGAATGTAACATAAAACCAAGCTGTACCCCACCCACCTTGGGCACATGTTGTCAGGACCTCCTGAGGCTATGTCGGACACACATTCTTAATTTGGCAAAATAAACTTCCTAAATTGACTGAGACCTGTCTCCGATTTTTAGAGTTCACAGAACTAAGTCTGCAGGGATTGCATTCACCTTCACGCAGGCACACGATGACAAGACCTTATTCCATACCAATACCACATGCTTCTTTCCACCATTCTGTTGATGCTGAGTCATCAAACACCAGGGGACACATATGTATGAGACAGAAGGGCAGGGGACTTAACCCTCATAACAGGAAAAACAAAAGCCAGTAGAGAAATTCCTCTCTTCTTTTCTCAAAGCAGTTTGTTGAGGGATTGAAGATGTCTTTATTCCCTCAAGCATAGTTTGCTGAGACACACTTTATACAACTTCTTGGAGGACAGCCCCCATTGATTGAGCTATCCCAGTTGTATTTAGTGGCAGCTATTTTGCAAACACATCCTCATATTGGCTTTGTTTGTTTCCCTGTATGTAAATCCTAACATTGCCTATGTAAAATAAAATGACAATTACTAATTTGTGGAGTTACAAAGAAAAGAAAGAACCAAAAAATTAGACAACAGTACCATATAAGTCAGAAAAGGTAAGAAAAGAATTAAAATATTCTAAATGTTTTATGCTATCTAGAAGAGAACAGTAAACATATTTAAAATTTATGCCTTGTTAAATTAAAATACATGACACATTTCTGAAGTAACCTCTAAAAAAATAAAGTATAATTCCAAATCTTTAGTGAAAACCTGGAAGAGGGAGAAAGGTGCAAAAAGAACTCAGTTAATCAAAAAAGAAAAAAAAAAAAGTCCAGAGACCTAGAAAATGTAGAACAAATATAAATATAAAAGGAAGAATCAAAGTCTAAATATATAAAGAATCATAATAGGCCGGGGGTGGTGGCTCAAGCCTGTAATCCCAGCACTTTGGGAGGCTGAGGTGGGCAGATCACCTGAGGTCTGGAGTTCAAGACCAGCCTGATCAACATGAAGAAATCCCATCTCTACCAAAAATACAAAAATTAGCCGGGTGTGGTTCCGCATGCCTGTAATCCCAGTTACTTGGGAGGCTGAGGCAGGAGAATCACTTGAACCTGGGAAGCAGAGGTTGTGGTGAACTGAGATCGCACCATTGCACTCCAGCTTGGGTAACAAGAGCGAAACTCCGTCTCAAAAAAAAAGAAAAAGAAATCATAATAAATATACATGGAACAAAATTAACAGTAACAAGACAGATGATCAGTTAGGACTTTTTTTTGTTTTGAGATGGAGTCTTGCTCTGTCGCTCAGGCTGGAGTGCAGTGATGCGATCTCTGCTCACTACAAGCTCCGCCTCCCGGGTTCACGCCATTCTCCTGCCTCAGCCTCCCCAGCAGCTGGGACTACTGGCACACACCGCCACGCTTGGCTAATTTTTTGTATTTTTAGTAGAGACGGGGTTTCACCGTGTTAGCCAGGATGGTCTCGATCTCCTGACCTCGTGATCCGCCCACCTCGGCCTCCCAAAGTGCTGGGATTATAGGCTTGATCAGTTAGGACTTTTTAATACAGCTGTATGCATTAACACATCTAAAGCAAAGGAACTTAGAAAGGTTGAAAGTAAAAGGATTGCAAATATTACAAGTAAACACTCACTAAAAGAAAGCTGATTTGTCTATGATAACATCAGACAAAACAGACTTTAAGACAAACAGCAATGTAGGGATAGAAAGGGATAACTGTGTCATGATATAAAATTTAATTCACCAAAATGATAACACAATTCTAAACACATAAGCACCTAATCAAATGTGTTCCAAGTACAGGGAGCATAAATTGATAAAAACTGGAGAGGCTGACAAATCTACCATCATTGTAGGAGATTTTTCAACATGCCTTTATCTGTGACTGGTAATTCAAGCAGAAAGCAAGAAGCAAAGATACAGGATATTTGAACAACAAAACTAACAATCTCGTAATAATGGACATATATCAATTTTGCATTAACAATGAGAGAATACAAATTCTTATCAACCTTGTATTTCTCGGACTAGGTTATAAATTAACCAATTAGGCAAATATCAGCACATTTTAAATAAAAGTATAATAAAAATTATTATTATTATTATTATTTTGAGACTGAGTTTTGCGCTTGTTGCCCAGGCTGGAGTCCAATGGCGCCATCTCAGCTCACTGCAAACTCCACCACTTGGGTTCAAGCGATTCTCCTGCCTCAGCCTCCTGAGTAGCTGGGATTACAGGCGGGTACCACCATGCCTGGTGAATTTTTGTATTTTTGGTAGAGATGGGGTTTCACCATGTTGGTCTGGCTGGTCTCAAACTCTTGACCTCAGGTGATCTTCTCGCCTCAACCTCCCAAAGTGCTGGGATTACAGGCATGAGCCACCATGCCCGGCCTAAAAGTATAATAAAAATTAAGATAACAATGCAAATATGTCAGAAGAGACAGGGTCTGTTACCCAGGCTGCAGCATCAAACTCCTGGGCTCAAGTGATCCTCCCACCTCAGCCTCCTCAGTAGCTGGGACTACTATGCCTGGCTAATTTTTTATTTTTATTATTTTAGTAGAGATGGGGTCTCACTATTTTGCCCAGGCTGGTCTCAAACTTCTGGGCTTAAATGTTCCTCCAGCCTCACCTTCCAAAAGTGTTGGGATTACAAGGTGTGAGCCACCATGCCTGGCAAGAACATACTTTTTAAATAATGAGTCAAAGAAGAAACTACAATAAAATTTTAAATATTTTTGAACTGAATAATAATGAAAATGTTATATATAAAAACTTGTGGGATACAGAAAGCAGTGCTTTGAAGGAAATTTATTGCCTTAAATGTTTTTAAAGAGGAGAAAAACGGCTGAAAATTAATGAACTAAACACACAACTTAAGAAATAAACAACAGAATAAACTCGAAGAAAATGGAAGGAAGGGGATAATTATAAGAGCAGAACTAGAGATAGAAATGAAATAGAAAACAGGGAGAATCAACAAGGACCAAAGTTGGTTCTTTGAAAAATACCAACAAAATAAATAAACCTCTGCAATGATTTATTTAAGAAAAAAATGATAAGAAGTCATAGGCAAAAAAATTATCAGTCAGTTTTCACTATAATATGCTTTGGTAACTACAAAATCCCAAGTCTCTGTGTTTATTTCTTATTTGCTATATATGTTGACTCTGCTGGGCTCTCCTCTACATGTATTTTTCATTCTGGGGTCCCCAATCGAGCACATGCCATTCTCATGGAAGAGAGAAAAGAGCAAGAAAGCTGATAGAAACAGGTATGTTACCTTTTAAAGTTTCTGTTCATATATGATGATCAAGCCCATTCACAGCTGGTTGGGTATTAATTCTCCTGTCACAAGAGTCACCTCAAGTCACATAGCATTAGGTAGACATGCATAGTCCTCTTACAAAAAAAGAAGCAAATATTTGGAGAGCAATAACACAGTCTACCACAAGTAATATTATAAGTGAAAAAAGAGCTATAAATACAGCAGAGATTAAGAAGATAATATAATCAATAACTATGCCAATAAGCTTAAACCCTTAGATGACATGGAAAAAATTCTAGAACCTATTATTTTATTAAACTGACTCAAAGAGAAAGAAAATACTTGAATAGTTTCATAACTATTAAATAAATCAAAGTTGTATTTTACAATCTTCACACAAGGAAAATACCTAGCCCAGATGGTTTTGCTGTTCTGTTCTGTTTTGTTTTGCTTGGTTTTTGTTTTTTGGAGATGGAGTCTTGTTATGTTGCTCAGGCTGGTCTTGAATTCCTTGCTTCAAGTGATCCTTCTGCTTGAGCCTGTCAAGTAGTTGAGATTATAGGTGTGAGCCACTAAACTCAGTTCCAGACAGTTTTATTGGTGAATTCTACTGATGCTTGAAAGGAGAATCACTCCAATCTTATTAAAATTCTTCCAGAGGATACACAAAGAGGGAATACTCCTTATATCACTTTATGAGCCTTGAAACCCAAACAGATCAAGACAGAATGAGAAAAGAAAATCACAAGTCCATGTTTTTCATAAACACAAATACAAAAATCCTACATAGAATATAACATAGACACAGAATACAGAGTCGACAATAGCATATAAAATTGAGACTTTATGGTCCAGTTATTTATCCTAGGAATGCAAGGATAAGTAGTTTAATATAAACTCTATAAATATCATCTATCATATTAACATATTAAAGGGAGAAATTGTGTGATTTCAATAGATGTAGAAATAAATTAAATTCAAATTCATTCAAGATTTTTAAATTTTATTCAACTAGGAATAAAAGGTACCTTCCTTACCCTGATAAAGGAGATTTACAAAATGCCTACAAAAATATCATTCTGTTTTATCATAAAATACACAAAAATAATTCTAAGTTCCCTTTTTGAATATCAGGAGCATCAAGAATGCCTACTATAACCATTTCCAACAACACTGAACTGGAACAATGCACTGCCTTCTCCCCCAAACCAGTGTAACTTTTTTTTTTTTTTTTGAGACAGGGTCTGGCTCTGTCATCCAGGCTGGAGTGCAGTGGTGTGATCTCAGCTCATTGTGAGCTATACCTCCCGGGTTCACACCATTCTCCTGCCTCAGCCTCCCAAGTAGCTGGGACTACAGGCACCCACCACCATGCCCAGCTAATTTTTTGTATTTTTAGTAGAGATGGGGTTTCACCATGTTAGCCAGGATGGTCTCAATCTCCTGACCTCGTGATCTGACTGCCTTAGCCTCCCAAAGTGCTGGGATTACAGGCATGAACCATCGCACCTGGCCAAATCAGTGTAACACTTTAAGATAGATAAAAAGCAATAAGAGTTGAATGTAGGAAAGGGGAAAACTGGCATTATTTTCAGATAATGATTGTTTAAATACAAAATCCAAAAGAATCAATAAATAAATTACTACACACAAGAGTTTAGCATTGTGGCTGGGTACAATATCAACGTACAAAAATCAAATTTATTTCTATACCATCTTCAAAAAATTAGAAAGCATATTTTTAAAGGACATCACTTGTAATAGCAACAAAAACTACAAAGTATCTAGGAATAAACTCCCCAAAAGATGTGCAAGATCTGAACAAAGAGAATAATGAACCCAAATTAAAGCATTAATGAAGACCTGATAAAAAGAGAGTTATCCCTTGCTTATGGAATGGAAGACTCAGAATCATAAAATGTCAATTCTCTCAAAATTTATATATTATTTATTATTCAATGCAATTGCCAACAGGTTTTTGTTGTTGTTACTGCTGCGTGTTGCGTGTGTGTGTGTGTGCAACTTGTTTGTGTGTGCAACTTGAGATGCTTGCCTTAAAATATGGTAAAACTAAAGACCAAGCATAGCCAAAAAAAAAAGATGGATGAAGAATAAAAGGGAGATTTTGCACTACTAAATATCAAGACTTTTCATAAAGCTATGGTAATTAAATATTGTGGTATTGACATCAAGATAGACAAATTTTCCAGTAGAATAGAATAGATAGATCAGAAATAGACCCATAAGTAACTGGAATGTTGATATATAACAAAGTTGGGAAAGGTGGGGCTAGTCAATAAACAAAGCTGGGGGAAAATAAAGGTCATTTGTATGTAAAAAGTAAAATGGGATCCCTACCTCACACTATATACAAAAGTAAATTCCAGAGGGAATAAGGATTTATAGATTTTTAGAAGTAAGAGTAAGTGAACATATATTAGGTAGGGGGAAAATAAAAACAGGATAAATATTAATAAATTCAAAGTTAAGAACATCTATCAAAATAGAAAGTGAAAAGACACCAATGGGAGGATAAATTTGCAACACATATAACTGACAAACAATCAGTGCCCCAAGTTTATGAATAATGTAACAAACAATCCACTAAAACAACAGTAAAAGACTCAAACTGACTGTTATATAAAGAGCCAAAGATGGCCTCTGTATCTGAGTCCCCGGGTTGTTTATTTCTTCACAGAAAGCTGGTATCTATCATCTCAAAAGTCTTTCAGCACCTAATTCAAATGTTTATACATTCAGGCATTTTAGATATAACCCAACTAAGCAGATTTTTAGGCATTTAGAGCTGCTTGCCTGCTTTGTATAACTCAACAAACTGTGCCCAACATCTGTTAGTCATAGATAAGATAAATCCATGGTTCATGAAGACTCCAATTTACTGCTGCCCTTGGGAGCTTTCTGAAACAGAGACTTCCCACAGGCCGCTGAACATCATCACCTGGACATGGTAAGGCCACTCCCTTCTGGAAGTTTCCTTCTCTCCTCCCTTTTTGGATGGTTTCTCTCCACCCCCAATCTCTGGATCCTCTCATGCTGCGAGCGACTTCCCTTAAATGCAAACCTGTCAAAGCTCACACAAATAAAGCTTGAGTGTGCTAATGCCACCTTTTGGTCATATATTTTTTTCTTGCTCAGTCCTAAAATCCCTCAAATGCCCTACACTGACATTTCACAGAAGAGAAACTACAGATGGACAACACATATCTAAAAGAGATGCTTAACCTCAATAAGGCCAGTTTGAGACCATGCATTAGCAAAAACCAAGAAATCTGAGGTGTTAGAGAAGATGTACATGCTGGTAGGAGTATAAACTGGTACAACCACTTTGGATAAAAATGTGGTACTATCATATAAAGTGGAATAGTGGCATTCCAAAATCCTATCAATTTTATTCCTAGGTAAATACACCCAAGAGACATTTTTGCACGAGGCACCAGAAAGCAATGCTGATTTCCAACACTGGAAATTGCACAAAGATTTGGCAGCTGGAGAATGGATAAATTATGGTACATAATGGATTTTTACGTAGCAGTGAAAATGAACAAAATGTAACTTCAGTCAACGAAGATGAATCTTAGTAACATGTTTGTAAAGAAAAATGTACCAGGCCCAGGACTCTAGATGAAAGTTTGGAAACACACACAAAACTAAAAAAGTAAAAATACATTGCTTAGTAATATAAATGCGAAAAGAAAGTAAAGCAATATAATAGTTGTGTAAACACAAATTCAGGATGGGGGTTACTTCTGATGGAGAGGCAGTGGCAGAAGATGGGGACCACTTAAAAGTTGATGAAAGTTAATTGATAATATTTTAGTTCTTAGCATGTCAAGTTAAAGAAGGTGTTCATTATATTATTTTAAAAATGAATTCGTTTAATTTAATTTAAACGGTCCATTCAAGGTCTACTGGTTATAACGTATTATTGGCTAATTCTGTGGTCTATTTTTAAAAAGAGGATTGTACCTACGTATCTTCTCAGGCCTTCCGGCCCAACCACGTTATAAATGACTAAGAAGGAGTTCAATCAAGGCCATGGGCAAAAATGCAGCATCCTAAACCCATGTACCTACTCCCCACCCTACCCAAAACAGCGGCATTAACACAACGTAAAAAACCAAGGAAGACTTAGCAACAAAAACCTTGATTTCCTAGAGCGCAAACAAAAGAGGGTAGAATCACGTGGTTCTTCCTCCCACGCCCGGCGCGCCAATGATGTCACCAATCTGCGACCACACCATTGATTCCCGACTGAAGGTAGAGAGGGCTACGTGGTGGGGGAGGGCGGGGGGAGGGTATCGGCCGCACTGGCAGCCTCCGGGTGTTCGGCCGTGTCCGGAGGAAGTACAAGACCCGGTAAGAGGCTCTGTCCTTCTCGGCCACACCTTCCTGGGCTGGAACGCCCGGCGCGTGCGGCCTCTCCAGTCTCTGGCGTTGATGTTAGAGGAAGCGCGGGGGCGCCCCGGCGGGGCACTTAGAGTGGCCTCAGGGCTGGGTGGGGACGCGGCTGGTAGGGGCACAGTGGCCGGTCTCGGCAACTTTCCAGGAGGCGGACGCCCAGGGCCGGTGTACTTTTGTGCGTGTGTGTGCGCCCGTGTGTTCGCCTGTGTGTGCGCGGGTGTGGGCGGCAGAGGCTGCGCACGGATGCTCCGGCGCTCGTGCCAGCCGGAGCCCAACAGCTGGGTACCAAAGGCCCTTGTTTCCCTCTCGCCGACTCCCCCGCCTCGGAGAGTGACTGGAGAGCGAGGCTCCTGGGACTCGCCCCGGTAGGCGCTTTGCTGCGCCTTCTCCCACAAACTGCATTAGGACCGGCCCTTTATCCCAGAGATAACATCGCCGCCCTGGCGTGCCTTCCACAGGGAAGGCGTAGGAGGCCACTGTGGAGAGCCCACTGCGGGGTCACGGCCGCCGCGCTCAGCCTGTTTGGCGCAGGAGGCCTAGTTGCGTCACCTCCCCTTCCTTCTCTGTTTAGCTTGATTTGGGGGCCACACTAGAGGGTAATCCGGCCCCAGGTGTTTCGTGTTGGTGTCAGAGTTTGGGAAACTTGCCTTCCAAAAAGGGATACCTGTCATTGGATTTTGAATGTTGTGTGGAGGAGCCCAAGCATGCAGTTAGCGGAGGGAGCAGAGTCTAGGCTGCTACGGGGGGAGACTTGCAAACAGAGGCCTACATAGTGTCTTCTTGCTAGCGAGGGAAGCAGGATTGCTAGAGCGGGTCATTGGGAGCAGAGAAGGCAAGGGCGTCAAACTGTCAGCAGTTGTGATGCCAACTTCTTTTTCTACCAGAGAAGCCTTGTTTCCCATCTTTTTAAAGATCTTGAAATACCTTGTTCGTTATTTACAAATAGTTAGTGCTTGCTATATGGGAAGCAGGGAAATAGAGTGGAAAGCGGACATGAACTTTGGAGTCAGGTCTGCCACTTAGCAGCTGTTTGACATTGAATGAGTTATTTAACCTCTCCATTCCTACTTGGGCTTATCTACAAAATGAGGATAATTATATCTACCTTGCCCTGGGTGTCAGAATTCGAAGTGTCTAGCTATTATTAGTAAGGGCCCAGTACCCAGGCGCTTGGACTTGCTCCCTTGCTGAAGGTTTCCTATTGGTACAGCTGCTTGAGAAGCAGGAGAACTTTTTGCTATTTTAGATGTTTGCTATACTGCCAGATATGATACGTAGACTTGGGGGTGGTGGGGGGGGGGAAATCTCAAAATCTATAATCTCTCTGCTGTAAAATCTCTCTGCATTAAATTCTAGAACTGCAAAGAGGTGAAAATCTCACTTTAGGCTGGGAGCAGTGGCTCATGCCTGTAATCCCAGCACTTTGGGAGGCTGAGGTAGGCGAATCACGTGAGGTCAGGAGTTCAAGACCAGCCTAGCCAACGTGGTGAAACCCCGTCTCTACTAAAAATACAAAAATTAGCCCAGCATGGTGGTGCACATCTGTGATCCCAGTACTCAGGAGACTGAGGCAGGAGAATCGCTCGAACCTGGGAGGTAGAGGTTGCAGTGAGCTGAGATCCTGCCATTGTACTCCAGCCTGGGTAATGAGAGCGAAATTCTGTCACAAAATAAAAACAAAACTCACTGTATTAATTATAGCTTCTCATTTTATTTTATTTTATTTTCTCATTTTATCCCAAGTAGCTGGCATCAAAGATGTGCACCACCATGCCTGGCTAATTTTTTTTTCTTTTTTTGAGACGGAGTCTCACTCCATCCCGCAGGCTGGAGTGCAGTGGCGCGATCTCAGCTCACTGCAAACTCTACCTCCCGGGTTCAAGTGATTCTCCCTCCTCAGCCTCCCGAGTAGCTGGGATTACAGTAGCATGCCACCATGCCTGGCTAATTTTTGCATTTTTAGTAAGACAGGGTTTCACCATGTTGGCCAGGCTGGTCTCAAACTCCTGACCTCAGGTGATCCACCTGTCTCGGCCTCTGAAAGTGCTGGGATTACAGGTATGAGCCAATGCGCCTGGCCTATGCCTGGCTAATTTTTGTATTTTTAGTAGAGACGGTGTTTCACCATGTTGGCTGGGCTGGTCTCGAACTCCTGACCTCAAGTGATCTGCCCACCTCGGCCTCCCAGAGTGCTGGGATTACAGGCATGAGCCACCGCACCTGGCCTTTTGCTTCTCTTTATATAGCACTTGCTGTGTACCTGACACTGTGTCAAGCACTTTACATATACTAACTTATTTCGTCCCTCCAGCAACCTAGTGCACTAGATATTATCCCCATTTTACAGATGCAGAAGTGAATCTTGGCTAAGGTCCTGACACTAGTTAACGACAGAGCTGGAACTGGAAGCCAGCTATGTGGTTTGAGTCTTGCTCTTTCTCAGTGACTAGTATCCCAGCAATGTAAACCTGGTGTGGTGGGGGAAAGGAGGCCCAGAGTTTAGTGGGCCAGCACTGGCTGCAAGAGTAACATCTCAAATTGTCCAATGATACATTACCTTTTATTTTACATTTTTTACTCAGCATTGTCCAGATATGAACCAAGGTTTGGCCTTTTCACCCAGAGAAAAAGGAAAGGCTCATGGGCACACAGTGCTGTGATCCTGGGCACAAAGTAGGTATTCGGAAAATGCTTGTGGAAAAAAGAAATCCTGAGGCATTGTTATTTCTGCCAGAAGGAGGCCCAGTGCTTATGACACAAAGGCTGCTTAAGCCAGCTAATTTTATACTATAACACACTGTAATATGAGCATTTTTCTGGTTCTTGGATTTAAAGATTTGAAGCTCTGTTTCAGACCAAGATTGGTAGTATTATCTGTGACCAACTGATTAGAGTTCTCAGACATGTGAACAACAGAATCTGAGCTTTTGGGCTTCTGTAGTAATCTCTTGAGATAGAGCAATTTGTTTTGCTATAACATCTGTTAGACTTGGACCTTAATGGGTACAACTGCTTGAGTTTTCTGGAGAGCACTGGATGGTTGTTTCACATCAGGGATAAAGAGTTCAAAATATTATATTTGTCTCAAAATTAAATATTTGGGAAAGACCTGTCATTGATGTGCATTCATTGTAGGAACAGTACACTAGTTTCAAACAGATGATATTCCTGGTATTTTTGATGAGCTATTCTGTGTCTTAAAGATATTTAAAGATGACTTATGGTTGCATAGTGAACTATTAGGAACATACAAAATTTATATAAGCCATCCATATAGACTGCGACTTACACACACACTTCTCAGTTTCTCCATCCAAGGAGGTCTAGTTGCTGCTTCTATACCCTCTGGTTACCTTAAAGTTACCTATTTCACCATATTTATCAGACTTAATAGGTGAGACCCTCTGACATCAGCCTCCCTTTCCTTCTGTACCACCCCTTGCCACACGCACACAGAATTGAAGCTCTTCTCCAAAAGGACTGTATATTAATCTACTTGCAAGTGGCACAAACCCAGTGTGAATTAACTTAAGCAAAAGCAGTTTTTTTCCTCCCTTTGATTATTTAACTAGAAAGTCCAAAGGCAATCTTCAGGCATGGCTGGATCCGGGGTCTAAAATGATGTCATGAGGGCTTTCTTGGTCCTTCCTTTTTCCACTCCGTTTTGTTTATTGACCTCATCCTCTTTTGCTGCTTTCTTTTCTTTTCTTTCTTTCTTTCTTTTTTTTTTTTTTTGAGATGGAGTCTTGCTTGTCTTTCTCTGTTGCCCAGGCTGGAGTGCAGTGGCACGATCTCGGCTCACGGCAATCTCCACCTCCCGGGTTCAAGTGATTCTCCTGCCTCAGCCTCCTGGATAGCTAGGATTACAGGCACCCATCACTACCCCCAGCTAATTTTTGTATTTTTAGTAGAAACAGAGTTTCACTATGTTGGCCAGGCTGGTCTTGAACTTCTGACCTCAGGTGATCTGCCCACCTCAGCCTCCCAAAGTGCTGGGATTACAGGCATGAGCCACCGCGCCCGGCCTTCTTGCTGCTTTCTCTATGCGTACTGAAAAAGCTCCCAGTCAGCAGCCCCAAGCCTATGACCTGATGGCTGTCTTTTAGCATTGTAACCTAACCATTGCTGACAAATAGGGAGACCACAATTGGAGAGGTCTGCATCATAGACTCACTCCTGGGATGAGAAAGTAAACTGCCCCTCCATAACCTTATGGGATGGGAAGTTCAGAGGTCCTAGGCAGGCAGAAACAGCACATGACTACTTCAGGGGTGTGTGTATGCACACGTGTGCTTACATGTGTACTCTTATCTCACTTCTTTGGGGTCCTTCTAGAACCTTCCAACTGGAATGAATCCAGTGGGTTGTGTTTGTCCATCAAACTTAGACTCCCACTGTGGTATCCATTATGTGCTCTCCGTCCTTTCCGTACCTTTGCATCTGCTGTTTGGGTTGCCCTTCCCTGTTGCTTCATCTAGCTGATCCTTATAGATTCAGGTCATACTTCTCCCAGAAGCCTTCATTGACACCTTCCTTAACAAGCGAGGCATCCCTTCTCTCTGCTCCCATAAACAGCTGAGCATAACCCCCTTTTAGATTTTATTTCTGTTTGATAATTGTCTGTTTATTGGTCATTTCTCCACTAGACTGAGAGCCCCTTGAGGACAGAGTGCCCTTTGCTTTGTATTCCTTATCTCCTACCCTTAGCTAGCATTATTTGTCTTCATAGCACTCATAACTGACATTGTATATTTATTTCTTTATTGCCTATCTCTCCTCATTGACTGTCTCTCATTAGCTCCATGAGAACAATGTGGAAAGGAATTTTCTTTGTTATCAGAGCAAAACAAAACTACCTTGAGGCCTAGGACAGTGCCTCATACTAGCATATAGTATATGTTCAGTA